ATAAGTTCGTCGAAATCTGAAAATGATTACTTTTAATATAAGATACTAATATATTTATTTTTATGTATCTTAAACGCAATATTAAGATCGAGTATGTGGTTTGCATTTGAACTACTGGTGACTTTGGGACTATATATTAGTTGTGATTTGTATTTTTGAGTAATTTATTTGAAAATAAATTTTAAAATATAAAAAGACAATTATTTCTGTTTCGGAGTTTAATCAATTCACATCTGAGATGAGTTTTGGATTTAGATAAAATCCGACCCAGATCGAATTGATCCCACTCCCAAGAATAATAAAACTTTGATTACTTCATCTCATCTTTTTCTTCCCACTTTTCTTTTGGACTCTTCCAATTTATCTACATATCCAATTACATAAATTGGTAATACTCAACACATTAAATACCCAAAAATGCCCCTATTTTCCTAACCCTACTCATTACCCTACCCAATTTTTAATTTACCCCCCGGTTTGTCCCTCTCTTCTCATAGAACCTCTCTCTCCCCATTTAATCCATCGAACCGCGGGAATGTGATGCCGACACTTATGTCAACTTACCGGTGCAATTGAAACATGGCACTTTGCCTATGCAATAATAGGGATGGACCCGGGCCGATCCGATTCCGGTTCTGGGCCGGGCTCGGGCGAGCTTTTTTTGCAAAATGTTGGGCCCGGAATCGGGTCGGGCCGGGCCCGGGTCAAGTTCAATTTTTTTGGGGGGTTTCTACTTAACACCCGACCCCCCCCCTTCACCCCCACCCCCCAACCCCCCCCAAACACCCAACCCTAACCTAGAAAAGCAAAAAAAAATGAAAAAACAAAAAAAATTGAATCAGGCCCGGCCCGAACCGCCCGGGCCGGTTCACCAAATGTTGGGCCCGAGCCCGGCCCGCCCAAACGGGCTAAAAGCCCGGAACCGGCCAACCGGTCCCGGTCCGGGCCCAAACAGTAACGGGCCGGGCCGGGCCGGTTGCGGGTCGGGCCGGGCCGATTTAGTCCATCCCTATGCAATAACGAGAGAATGACGTATTACACTATCAGCGATTGCTTTTAGTGTAGAGGTAAGCGCAATGATCCAAAGTGGTATCAAACTCAAAGTCACAAGTTTGACCCCGACAACTATTAATAATAATTAACACTAATTTATAAATATAGTAGCACTGTTAATCTATAATCATTACTCTTTTTGTTAGTAATAAAATTATAATTTGATACTATCGATCAGTCAAGTTTTTCTTATGTATGAAAAATATTTACACATACGGATCGGAGTATTATTAGTTACCCGGCCAATTGTATAATCATCAATAAAGATAGGCTTTTTAAGTTTGACTAGTCATTTATCTTTTCCATGTACTAATTAAATAAGGGGTTGCCTAATCCACAATGTTTGTTTGAACTTAATTCAAAATATTGGTCAAGATCTTGTCCAAACAAAGAAATATTGGTCAAAATGACCTTAGTCGTTACAAAAAAGGGACAAATTAAATGAGTAAACATAGATAGAGGGGAAAGACGCTAGCTATTTAATTACTACTGTAAGAAACAATTAAAGAAAAACATGAGTACTGACCAAGTAGTTGCTTTTATTTTTGCCGCAAAGAAAAACTACTAAAGATTCGCAATGTTAGAACTGAGCTGCCTTGTGTAAAAAGGGACTACAAACCCTTGACAGTTACTCAATTGAGTCCAAAAAATTTATTGAGGTTCTAGCTAGCTAGCTACCTTTTGAGAAAGTAGCCAGGGGCCTAGGGTTGCATATTGGTCTACGGTTAGTACTGTTCCACAAAAGTTTGAGTTTGTATTTGATGTTTATTTCGATATTGGATGGGATGGATGTTCCTTTTTTTATAATCCAGATGTCGGGGCTTACGTTCCCATAATCCTGGACTCTATGAACTAACCTTCAAAGCCCCTAGACAATTAAATTCGGATCTGATCTCAGTCAGCCTCGTCAATACTGGTTCCAAAGGACGAATCCAGCATGACTTACATCAACTTTCAGGCTGATCTCCCACCACACGAACCCGCTACCTTCATTATCATTCTCTCCCTTCTCAGCCGCTGAGCAACTCCGTGAAGGTAGGAAGAATCATTGAGAGCAAGACCTCCCTCATCTCCCTTTGGTGGAAATTGAACCCAAGACCTCCCACAAAAGAGAGACTTGGAGATGCATGGTCTTTGTTTTAAATCATTTGAATTTATACATTAAAATCCTAGTTAAGGTATATCAAATACTGTATCTAATTAGTAATCATGGTGGCTAGTCTAGCCTTTTATAAACAAAATATTAATGGTTATTTTAGTTTTGGTAATAATAGTACGTACTAGTATTCTTAATTCATATCCTCTATACAAGTAATAACTAAATTGAAGGAAAAAATCATTTATAATTAAAAACACTAATCATATATACAAAACACCAGGAATAAAAAGCCGCTGTTTACTCATATTTTAGAAATCATCACCGCTTTTGTCTAAATCATATCCAAGTAATTTTCACTATTATAAACCCAATTTAACATAATATGGATTTTAAGAAAATAGAAATTGTGGTTGATATTAATTTAGAGGAGATAATAACTGTTAATTAACGATATATATACAAGCAATATAATTGTTGGGTCTCTTTTGAGATAATCTTGATAAGCGATACGTATCAATTAATACATAATGGTTATTGATTATTGGTCAAAGTAGATGAAAATTTAGGGCCCTTGTGTCAATTAAATCCTATTTTGAGAATAAAACATAATTGTTCATATTTATTCATTCGTCTATAATTTAGTCATATTTCGTGCAATTTATTGTTTTATGAACAATTACCACAATGGGAGAATGAGAAGTTAATAAGTAGTACTACCTCCGTCCCACTAAGAATGAGACAAGAGAAGATGACACGATTATTAAGAAAAGTTGATTTGTGTGGTTGATATTAAATTGATAAAGTAAGAATAAATTAAAAATGATTTAGAGTCACACAAACTTTACTAAATTTGGTATGAAACAATCTTAGTGAAATTTCCCAAAAAGGTAAAATGGGACAATCTTACCGGGACGGAGGGGGTAATAAACCATTAGAATAAGGTCAAGTGTGTGCAGTTATAAGACGCTGTTTATGTTTGATCTATTAAAGTTAAGGCTGATATGTTTGGCTATAGACCTATAGTGCATATTCACATTTGGAGTTTCATTATCCTGCATAATATGTTACGGAGTACAATATAAAAAAATCCTCCATTAATTTATGTTAATGTAGGTAGTTGTATGATACGTACATATATACATTTGATTATCACAAGATATTAATATTAGTATTAAAATAGAGACTATCTCGTGTATTGAAAGAATACGGTTAAACATTATGTAGGATTTATGTGCTCAATGTTATACTAAAAGCAATTGCTAATAATATATCATCTATTTCTCTCTTATACAACAGGCGTAGCGTCGTTTCGATTACATCAGTAGACTGGTAAAATTGTTGACACCACATTCCACGGTCTAACACATTATTCTACTTAGTATTATTATAGCATAAACACAATTCCTCCATCTGAAAAAATGTTTCCACTTTGACCCACAGACACATATTTTTTCGGATGATTCGACTTTGCACTCCGTTTCAGTATAAAGTCATTTGACTTTGCATCCATTCTTTTACATTTTTGGGTTGATGGGATGCATACATTAATGATTTTTTAAAATGAACCGTAAAGCCCTACATCACCCAAAGCATGAAGTGCAAAGTCAAATCTTCCTATAGAAAGATTATGTTTTGACTTTCTAATTGTACCTTTATTTTATACCAATTTAAGATAAAAGTAGATATGAAGTAAGGGCACTTATGATATTTGTATAATAATGATTTATTTTTATAGAAAGGGATTAGAAACTCATTATTTTTGGACATCTATAAAAGGACCTTGAGTTTTTTTATCAAATGAGGGACGGTATAGCGACAAAGTATTCTAGAATGTTACCTAATGAAATGGTTGAGAAGTATTATCTTTGTCCCCTTAAAATTAGAACAAGAAGGAGTAACCCGCACGGGTAGCTCAATTGATTGAGTGGTGTAAAAGTTGGAATATTGATGAATGATCGAAACACGCAGTGACTGTGTGGAGGTTAAAGTTCCTATGTGCTGAGTTGGGTTTCTGGTGCGCACGGGTACAAGGTCTACCATCACTGAGTCACCGTACTTATTACAACCTCCCAAATGCCTTGTTGGGCCTTGGCGTGGGGAGACTTTAGAGTTGGGGATTCGACCTTTTGGAACATAGAACAAGGAGTAGTGCAATCATTAAGAAAAGTAAATTGTGTAGTTAATACTCCGTATTGAATTAGTAATATGTGAATAAGATAAGAATGAATTACAACCATCGATCAAAATATTACCAAATATAGTACTCCCTCCGTCCCTTAAAACTTTGTAAACTTTTCTTTTTTAGAAATTGCTCTAAATAGGAGCAAAAACGTTTTGAAATTCCAAAATAGGAGTATCATGTTTTTTATTCTCTGAATATGAGTAATATGCCAAGTTTGAAAAAAAATGCCATGTTTTTAAGCCTAGTAATGCTAAACTTAGCAGAAATTTACTCATATTCAAGGAATAAAAAACATGATACTCCTATTTTGGAATTTCAAAACTTTTTTACTCCTATTTAGGGAATTCTCTCTTTCTTTTTTGATGTCCCACTAACTTTGCTACTTTCCATTTTAAGTAAAGAATTTGTGGTTTCAGATAATTCTCTCTGCTCTGCACAAACTTCAATCACACGATTTTTACTTTATTAATCATCATGTCGGTCAAACTTGGCAATTCCAAAATTTCAAGGGACGGAGGTAGTATGAAATAAACTTAGTGACAAAAACAAAGAAAAAAGTAAAATGAAACAAAGATAGACGAATATGGAATATATGACTGGTAATTAATAATTACACACTTTTAAGGAGGTAAACGAGATATATACATCGACAATTAAAAGCAATGCAAGTAGCACTTTAGGTAGCTAGGGCCAAGTAAGCAAATAAGGCCGGGGGGCGGGTGCTTCTTCAAATTATTAAACCGAACCAATTCTCTTCCTTCTTTCTTGCGTATTCCACCCCACAGCATTTGTTCTTCATCGAATCTCCCACTATTCCATAGAGAGAGAAGGGACGTCGTTGGCCGGCGGCGAATGTTCCATCACAAGAAACCCTCATCAAACAGCTGCACTACTATGAATGCCCACGGCGGCGGCCATCACGAAAACAGGCCGCCGATGTGCGTCCAAGGTGACTCCGGCCTTGTCCTCACCACCGATCCCAAACCCCGTCTCCGGTGGACCGTCGAGCTTCACGAGCGCTTCGTCGACGCTGTCACTCAACTCGGCGGCCCTGATAGTAAGTACATACATACATACTCTACCTACCCAATCTTTCACTATTAATTAAGCATGCTGCATCTTTCCTTCCTTCTCTTATTTAATTAATCATCTATATAATAATTGTTTAGTTTCTATCTTAATTATACTCATGTTTTTTGTTCAATAAATTAATTAATGGATCGAGCAGAAGCCACACCTAAGACAATCATGAGAGTCATGGGCGTCAAGGGCCTCACCCTCTACCACCTCAAGAGCCACCTCCAGGTTAGTTCATCCATTAATTATAATCAACCAATTTCTTTTCATAATATATACCAACAAGTATTTTATCCTACATCTTTTCTTATTTAATTGGTTACATATGATTAGAAATTGGTCAAATTAAACCTAGAAATCCTGTTTTGAAGATTTGCATTTACACAAATTTTTGGGAATAAAAATTTCATGTCAATGCAAATCTTCACAATAAGATTTTTTTTTGCATATTTTTTTAATTGAAAAATACTTTTGTTACTATGATTTTTTAATATGTTGTTAAATCATACTACGTACGAAGTAAAGTGTATGAATATGGAAAATTTAAGCTGTAACCAACCATTAATGAAGAACGATATATATGGCGGGAATAGTACTATGAGTTACTTCCTCATTTTCACAAAACTTCGTTGTTGTATTTACTTTTCTTGATAAGTAATGATAAATTTTGGACAATGGTTTCAATTATAATATTTGTGCGGAATTTATAAATTTTGTATTTTTATGGAATTATTTTACAAAGAACATATTTTATATAATATTCATATTTTGAATACTTTAATATTGGAAAATAAAAGTCAATATAGGAAAAAAATTAGAAACGGGGAGAGTATATATATTATAGAAATTCTGTGTGTATAGGTGTTGCATTGAGTGAAAATGTGAAATATACACTATATAGGTAGCTAGCTAATTAAGGTAGTTAGAGTATTAATTAATTAGTTGAATGTGGTATATGCTTTGCTTTACCAATTACCATGCACTTTGCTTGGGTAGCTAATTAAACACGTATTTACTTTACTAATTACTTTAATTTGTTCCATCTCCTTTTGGTTTGGTAACATAGAAATTTAGACTGGGAAAGCAGCCTCACAAGGAATTCAATGATCATCACTCTGTCAAAGATGTTGAAAGAGGTGCTTGCTAGCTACTATACCTTATTTACTCATTAAATAACATTTATTAAACAAGAGTTTGTATGCTGACTATGCTTTTTAACTTATCAGACTTATCAGCTAATTTTTCATCAAACACTTAACTTTTGATTTCACGTGCTGAATTGCGTTATAATAAAAAAGAAAGTTGACGTTACTTTTCTAGTTATATTGGTTGAAGTTACTGTAGATGATTATTTTAATTTTCTCATATAATATTTTCTTTATTTTATTAATGGAATATACTTTAAATATTTTTTTTCATAAATTTTAGCGGAATTAACCAATTCAGTCAGAACTTTATAAATTTCAACAAAATCAATCAGAACCGATTTGGATATTACCAAATGGGCTCTAATAAATAAATAGATTTTCCAAAACAATATGCTTTTATAAAATTCCTTTTGCCTGCCTGCCAACATAACATACATACATTCAGTTAAGTGTTCCAATTTATTTATTTAATTATTATATGTATAATGCCTTAAAAGTCGTGCCCCTTCTTTGCACCGCAGCTTCCACTTTAGAACTTCAACGAAATTCTGCAGCATCCTCCTCGGGAATGATTGGCCGTAATATGAACGAGTACGAATAATGCCCTATATCTCTTCTTCTTTGTTCAATTTATTTCATTTCTATATGCCAAAATGGCAAAATGCATGTACATCTTTTTAAGGGTTTCATTTGTTTTTTTTAATAAATAAAAGTAATTATCACTACTATTATTTATATACTTTTGTATTTTTCAAAATTTATCAAGTAATTACATGCAACTGGAAATCAATAATAAAATGTTGTTGTTTAACCTGAAATTTATTTTAATCGAATTTCATCAACCTACAAACAGGTTATATACATACCTGTATATACACCATCTACTTGTTGATTGGTTCCATTTTATTCTTTTTCTACAATTACTAAAACTACTTATATTAAATTAAAAAAAACTACTTAAATTGATTGGTTAGGGTACTATCTATATATATAATTAATAATAGCGGGCGTAAAAATAGTAAGGTACGTAAGGATTTGTGTAATGCAGTAGTAATGTTCGAATCAATGATGCAATCAGGATGCAGATGGAAGTGCAGAGAAGACTGCATGAACAACTAGAGGTAATTATATATTCCCATATTCTCTTCTTTAATTAATTTATTATCTATAATATTATCGAAATTCTTACATTCTCTTTCACTCAGTCCGGATGTGGACGCAGCTTACTAAGTTTAACATATTCTTTTGAAATTTAATACTTTGTACACACTCTAAAGTTCCTTATGTATTGATCTGAAGCAGTATTATATTCGATGCTTTATAAAGTTTTTTTAAAAGAATAATTAAATATATGAATAAAAAATTGTTTACAAAAATGTGTCATTTTAAGTGAAGTGGTTATATTTTTTAAAAAAAATATTGAAGTGATTATGGTAGTAAATTTAGTCACAGTGATTATGTTCAATTTCTACACTATATTTATAATATTTTTGTAATATTTTTGTAATATTTTTGTAAATTAGTTTTATTTCAGTAATACTATTTTGAAAAACTCAAATTATGAAAAAATATCAATTTTTGAATTTTCTCAAAAATTAATGTCAAAATTCCCTAAATAAGAGTAAAGATATATAGCTCATTTTAATAATTTTTAATAAAAATGACATTGTTTTCTTCTCACAGCGGGCATATCTAGTCTTGTTTTAATTTGCAAAGTTGTTATTGTTTTATTCATTTAATTAATAATAGAACTAAGTCAGATCTTTTTAAGGAATGAAACATAAATAGTACGAAGTGCTTTACTTATTTATATTTCTTTTATTTTGAGCATTCTCTAATTGATTGATACCACCCAAGTACGGAGTATAACGTATTCATTGTCATTTTAAATAAATTTGACGATAAATATTTAAATTGGGGAATTACTTTCTTAATTAATTCAATTCGAACTGTTTTTAATTTTTTTATTAGTTATTATGGACCCTAGCTAATCTATCTACGATTGTGACAAACACCCGGCACACACATACAATATACATATAATTTGGATCTCCTAAAAATACTCAATGTGAATGGGCCATATATTTGTCGCCCAAAAACCAGTGACTAGAGACTAAACTTGGCCTTTTTGAACAAATTGGCCGTTATCGAAATCCGAACCAGGACAGTCACGTAAGGATCAAGCATGTGCATGCTATATATATATATATGATCTTTATAAAAGGTTTGCCACTCAATTTGAAATGCACTGCATACCACCGGGAAATTAAAACAATCTCAAGATGCTAGTGCACCATACCATACATCAACAATAGTATATATATATAATACGAGTAAAAGTAGAGCTGCACTAGGCATATATATGGTCCGCATGGACCGGTTCCGGGTCTGGTCCTGGCCCTCCTTAGCACGGCCGGAGATACGGGTAACCTAGGTCTCGACTCATTCCGAATTTAAATTTACTTTAGTGTAAAACCTTTCGTGTTAAAAAGATGTCCAAATGATTCTTTGTATCGGTCTTACCCGAGACTGATACTCCTGAACCGCCCTCCGGGCCGATCTCCTATTTGAACCAGCTGGACAAGTTTCGACCCAGTCAACAAGTCCACCCATCGAGCTAGTGCACCATGGATATCCATTCAGTTCAATTTATATTTTTAATTTTTTTTTTCAAAAAACATTAAAATTTTATTAAATTCGCTAATTCGATTTGGTTTTATTTTATTTTTCACTGCTGCTGTTCAGTGTTATATGGTTCGATTTTGATTTGATTAACTTACTTTGGTTTTGTAAGATTCGACCCATTGGAATTGATGTCCACAATCCACATGTATAAATAAGCATAATAAATACGATAGTATATAAGTAACTAGGTATAGTTAATTCAAATAAATAAATAAAATTACTTTTGTAAGCATAAATATACTATGTCTGTACTCTGTATGTTTATTAGCCATCTTGGACTTTTATAATCAATGATGATAAATTTAGTCAATCTCTTTAACTAAAACATACGGGTGGTATTCCGTATATTTTTGTAAAACTTATAATTTTATATTTTTATGATATTATTTATAACAAATTAAAGAACATTTTCATATCATAAATACTTCCATATATATACTATGTACGCAGTATATATATACATTACTCCCTAATATATTATCGGTCAAAGTTTTAAATATTAACCTATATTTAAATAATACTACATACGAAGTATTTATATAGGTTTGAATATTAGGTTTGAATATAAAACACATTTCAATTATATATATTTGCATGAATAAGATGCATGACATGTATGTAGCCATGCAGGTACAGAGGCATTTGCAGTTGAGGATTGAGGCTCAAGGGAAGTACATGCAAACAATACTGGAGAAAGCATGCCAAACTCTTTCTGGCGGGGACAATTTGGGGCCCGTAGCGGCACCATCCGGGCCCTACAAGCTCGGCATCGCGAGCCATCCTCCTCCTCCACCGCAGCACCGTCATCACCAACAGCATGATCATCATCAACATTCAGGCGGCATGAGAGATTTTGCAGGGTTTTCGGCATTCCAAGATCTCAATATCTACGGTGGCGGACACGAAGACGGCCATCTCGATCTTCACCAGCAAAGCAATATTGATGGATCATCTTCTTCACTCGATGGGTTTTTGTGCAACAACGATGACAACAATTTGTGCTCGGCAACGGCGCGTGGAGGAAAGAAGAGGCCGAGCGCGTGCCACAACGGGAAGAGTCCGCTGATGTGGTCAGACGAGTTGATGGGGACATCATGTGGGTCAGCGATGGCCGCCGCCCAGCTCTCTTTGGACAGAGGCGGACACGGCAACGACATTATCAATGACTCGATTGTGGTGTCGGAGTATTACGAGGCGAAGCCGTCTTTGAACATTGCAGTTTCAAGAGGCGGAGAAGACCACGGGATGGTAAACGTGAGAGAACTGGAGAATAAATTCGACCCAGCAGGCCAAGGGAGGCGCTCCCCTAGGGGAGGAGGACCGCCATTTCCCGCCGGCATTGTAATGAACATGAACATGCAAGCCGCGGCAACGGCACAAGGAAGGACCACTACATATGGATAGCAACATACAATAATAATAAAAGTATCAGAAACAAATTGAGTGCCGTAGTAATATGTAAACGCGCATAAAATGCATGCAGATTGGTCTCAGATCCATCTTCATATCCATATATACTAGCAGCTTAGCTATAGTCAATTATATTAATTACCCATTATGTACTTGCTAGCTAGCTTTTACAGTTTTACTCCATCAATCCATCTGCTCATATATATAGCCTCATATATGGATGTGTTTAAGTATTCAAATCTCAAATTTTGGTTGCAAAAATTCCAATGAAGAGAAGTTTAAGTTAAAGTTTCAATGTTTCAAGATGAACTTCAATTTATATTGGGAAAACTATCAAATAAGTCCTCGAACTTTCATAAAAAGTGCAAATAAGCCCTTTTACAGGAGACTTTGTCCGGCTGTCGCCATTTAGGGCGGTTTCCAGTGAAATTGTTTGATGAAATCTTTTGAGCATCTTTGTCATCAAGTCTAGTTTACTCATACCAAATTTCAGCTAAAAATTCAATTTAGAAGGCATTGAAATGATTTTCTGAAATATACTGCGCTGCCTAACTGCGCATTTATCTTCAAAAATTCATTTGACTACCTTCGCGATTGCATTTTTAGTTGAAATTTGGTGTGAGCTGAGTAAACTAGACTTAATAAAGAAGATGCTCAAAAACTGTCATCAAAAAATTCTAGCGGAAACCTCTCTAAATGGCGATAACCGGACAGAGCCTCCTATAAAAGGGTTTATTTGCACTTTTTATGAAAGTTCGAGGGCTTATTTGATAGTTCTCCCATTTAAATTCCCAATTTCTATTCTCAAAATGCATGCTTTGAAGCGATGTTGGAGGATAGCAGTAAAGTAGATGTACCGATCTGTATCAAACTTATTTTAATAATATACCTTCAAAGTCCTTCTAGTGCTTGTGGGTTGAAAATTAGCTAGCATCCAACAATTTTTGTTGGATTTTAAGAAACAGTGGATTTTCCCCAATGTGATCAACAGTCCACGAATAATGCTTCTTGTTCGTCTCAACTCTCAAGCAGTGAAACAGGTCCCTCAGGTGCATGTTTTCGCGATTGCAGCAAATTAAATTAAGAGTTAAATGCATATGTAAAATCAATGGAAGTCCTCATAAAATACTTGGATTAGATAAGAACAATATATAAAACCAGGTGAACAGTCAATGAGATACTTCAACAATAACAAGTAGTAGCTCAAACAGTTGACCTTTGATTCTCATTCTCCACAATAAACTGAAAGTCACAAAGATAACTACGAGAACTACATTCTACATGATATGTAGTTCATCTACCACAGTTTTGAATGACTTACAAGGGAGCTAAATTTTGGTAAAACTAAGAGCCCGTTTGGTAATCTTTTTTTCCGGCTTATCAGTCAACGTTTTCACTAAACACGTAACTTTTGATCCACGCGTTGTATGTAATAATAAGAAAAAGTAAGACTGTGCTGGAAGAGACTGATAGTGAGAGCTCAGGATATGGATCGGGGGAGGAAGATCTAGGCCTGACAGGTATCACAGAAATTGATGAAGTTTATATGGACGGTAAGGTTTTTATGATTAGGAAAGATGATAACGTGAACAGAAATAGAATGATAAGGAGAATTCCAGGATTAAATTGGGAGGAAACATTTGCTAAAAAAAAGATTGGTCTTCCAAGTCTTTTTAAGGGCAACTCAAATGGAAAGAAAAAGAAAAAAGGATCGACCGGAAGAAAATAATTCTGTCTGGGTTTTCAGTGATGGCTGTTTAACCGTAGAAGACTTTTCTTGGTTTTGTTTTAATGGCAGGGCGCTACTGCAATGTTTTTTATTATGGTGATGCTACGATCCATGTATCTAGGTAACCGGAAGTGAGCTGGGAAAGTTTCGTTGCTTTTGCCAGACTGAATTCGCTATTTCGGTGCTGAGGCAAAGCTTTTGAGGTTTCTGTTTGCAGCTGGACCAAAGAATTTTAAGCTGTGGCTTTTTGTGATAGATTTCTATTTAGGTTAGATTAGTCTAACTTAGATAGTTATTTTGATCCAAACTTGATATTCGTACATTGTAAAATGTTATTTGTGGGTGTTTTATATATATACTTACATTTCATTCAAAAAAAAAGTAAGATTGAAGTTACTTTTCTTGATGTATTGGCTGAAATTACTGTAGCGGACTTTTTTAGTTATTTTTACATATAATTTATTCTTTATCTTATTAATAAAATATATATTAAATATAATTTTGTCATAAATCAACAGAATCAACTGATTCAGCAAACATTTCATAGATTTCAGCAGAATCAACTGATTCAGTCAATTTTGATATTACCAAACGGGCTCTAAATGAATGTTCAAACCTTACATTTTCCCTTTATAAATACTGTCTTCTTATATAAACTAAAAAAAAATCGTTTCACATTGTTCGCTAATCATTACTCTTCAATGAGGCCTGGAATGATGCTGAGCCTGGACTAAATCAAGTAGCTATTATTTGGCGTCATGACTAAGAAAGCACGCTAAAGTTTCAATGTGCAGCTATCCATGGAAGAATCTCTCCTCTCAAAGGCAGTTCACAGATGCAGTGTGATGCTATTACCAGGCTACCAGCAGTAAGTTGAACCACCTATAGTTAAGAGTGCCATAAAAACCTCTACACCAGGCCACTTGAGAAGTTTCTTATTTTCCCCTTACTTTCTCCATCCAAATTATCACTTCAAGTCTGCATATTCTGGGTTATAAAGGATTCAAATCAAATCTATGCACCTATCTATATGATTTTCTGAAAATTAGAAGCCTGGGTGAGATATTACCCCTTCCTGCATGAAAGAAGTATATACATCTTGCATTCCAAAGTTCACCTGCTGGAAGACATTGCTTCCTCAATTCTTTTAATAATCACAATCAGACTCTGCCCACCCTCCATAGCTTGAAATGCAGCTCAGTGTGCATGTTTATGCCATTTCAACAGATTATAGGATTGCATTATTGACCATCTAGCTTGATTCGACATCTGTATAACAAATCACTGCTGTTAGAATTCCAAATAGGTAATGAGCTCATTGAAAAATAGAGTAAAAACCGTTCTGTTTTCTTTAAATTTCATGGCTTAAATGTGTTTTAGTCCCAGTAAATATAGATAGTATTTCCAAATTGAGATTTTGCCAAAGTTAAATAATCACTAAAATAAAAATAGCATATATTGGAGGTATGAAAAACAAGACAAATCCACAGATCTAAAACAAAGATGTTATATTTGCAGTAATTAGAATCATATTTAAGCCTATAATAGGTATTAGAAAATTTCAGTTATGAAATCTCAGAGTATTGTACATAACATCCTATATACCTATGTAGAAAATAATTCCAATAAAAACCTCTTTTCTTCTCTTTTTGTTTGCCCATCAAAGTGACTTTTGAAATTTACCCGAGCAATAGATAGTGGTGGATCTAACAGAATACAGGTGCTTCTGAATAAATTCTCATCATTTTCTCCACCCTCTGCTTCTCCATAGACAAGTGCCTCGGCAGCAATCCCAGCAAAAAAAACCATGCAATACCTGGCGAATATGTGACAAAAGGAAAAAGGTAATTATTCACCATTCGAAAAAAATTGGTTACTATTCAACAGAGACACATCCCAAGCAACCCAAGTATCTGCCTACTCCTAAATGCAAGCAAAGAAGAACACATAACAAAAGACCAGAATGCAAAACCTGTCAAAGGCAGTTCTACTCAACCGGCCTTCATCGAGCTCATTCTCAAGTTTTTCATCCCAGAATTGTGTTCCAGCCTGAAAGGAATAAATGGAGTAATACATGTGCAGCCACAATGAGATTACAGAGGCAGTAGAATCAAGTACACTGAAACACAATTGCAATACAAATGAGCCAAGAGCCTGAGACCACAACATCCTAAACTTTTTCGTCAATTTACTGCATCCTCAAACTGAATTCATTTGTCTTCCTTTTTCCTACTTTTTGTTTTAACTCTGATATCATAGGTCAATGCATGTTACCAACCCCAAGCTCTTTAGTGAATAAAGCTTGGATGTTCTAATTGTAGTCAATTTACTACGAGTATTGTATTCCAATAAGTCTCTCTTTTATAATTCAGATGTGCAAGGAAACGTACTTGTTGGGGTAATGCCCCTCGACTTGACTACCATCTTCGAGATAGGTTAGCAAATAAGATGAACTTGGAATTTGCCCGGGCCAAAGTCAGAAATCTGGGCCATTATTCATCAGTCATCTTCTTCCTAGCCTATCTCACACATTGTAGCCTAACCCAGAATGTTAGTTGATAAGTTCATATTTCAACACGCATTTAACGCGTGTCGGGTTTGAGTTTTGTCACTTTTCCTAATCTATATGAGTCACAAAGCGTTTAATTAGCTCAAGTCACGGTTTACCGGGTTTGGTTTGCATCTGTTGAGAAAATTAGGAATTTGGACCCGGCATCGGCGTTTGTGTATAATTTGAGAAGATTTGGAACGCGTTCGAGAGATGGCAAGAAGCATCGGAGGTCCACGGGACGATTAAGAAGCATGATTTGAGTCAAAAGATGTCAAAGAATGAAGATGGGATCGATCGGAATCGAACGGGGAAGAAAAGAGCAAGAAAACGGTTCAAAAGAGGTTCGCACGCCCCGCGCATCATACCTGCACGTCCCGCGGGTTATTCAGAGAGCATGAAGTCCAAAAGTCTGAACCGCACGCGCCGCCGTTCAGAACCAGCTGCAGGAGTACCCGCACAGTCGGACCGTGCGGGCAGCCGCATGCCGTGCGGGCGGAAGAGTAAATTGACACATTGATTTTCTTATGGAGACCCACACGGTCAGTCGCACGCCATGCGGACGACCGTGCGGATAGATGTTCGCCCAATTTTCCCCGTTTTCTATAAATTTAGCCTTGTTTTGTCTGTTTTTGGAACGCAACTTAGAGAGAAAAACCCTATTACGAAATTGTGAGAGCTTTTCAACCTTGTTCATCAAGATTTTGGGATTCTTTGTAAGTTCCAACTTTTTAATTAATGACAATTAATTCTTTTCATCTCAATTCTATTGTTAATTTAATTATGAATTGTGAGTAGTTTTAATTATGGATTTGGGATTGATGAAGGGGTTAATCATGATCTAGGGTTAATTTCTTGATGGATTAATTGTATGATCTTTATTTAATTTGTGTTTGAATGATTTAATTGATCTCTTGTAACCTAGAACTGCAGCTAGGATTATAATTGCACATAGAATGAATTAAGAGAGATCTAATTTATTCTAGGACACCTTCACACACACTTAATCGTTCGGTAAGACCTTAGTAACGGTTAAGGGGCCGTACGCTCGCTCATTTTGACAATAATTTAGAATCATGTTGCATGAAGGATCAGCCTGGTTCCCTAAATTATTGTACTCTACGCCGCGAGAGCGGTAAGAACTTAGTATTGACTAGTGTTGCTCAATTCAATAATTTTCATTTGATTAAGCCTGATCAGCCATGAAATCTGATTACCCCGGAATCAATCCCTGTTGCCTATCGTCATTAATTAGAAAGAACGTATTATTTTATTTGCTTTATTGCATTAGTTTAATTTCCAAAAATCCAAATCTCGCACAATTGCATTTATTTTTATTTATTTTAATCGCTGAATTTAATTAATTCCTGATTCTCTTTTTTCGTCACGTACCTGTGGAGACGATACTCGTACTTTAGCCCTATACAGCTACATATTTTAAGTGCGAGAAAACTCATATCATTAGCCCAACACATAAGAATATAAGGTAGCATCTCGGCGGTATATTCCTATTATATATGAGTGTTTAAAGAAGGTAATCCAATAACTACAAATACATATTTGCTGAAATATATAACTATGACTGCTATATGATTCAATACTATCATCCGTTCCGTTTTAATCGCAACATGTTGAATTTTACACTATTCACATGCTCTACTTTGACTAAATTTCACGCTATTATTTTATGAAAATATTTTTAAAAAAAAATTTGTTCAATTCATCTCATTAGTCATTATAATTTTTCAAAATCTGATTTTTAATAATTTTTTACTAATAGAATTAAGATATAATTACGGTCAAAGACGTGCGTTGGCAAATGTGAAATGTTGCCCGTTGCAACTAAAAAAGAACGGAGGGAGTATGCAGTAATATTGAATTGACTAATTGTAAATTTGTAACTACTTCCATTGCCTTTATTTAATGGTTGTAATTTTCTTCAAAGGAAACTATGAAATACTTGTTCCACTCTCTTTTAGCAAATAAAATCTTGAAAAATGATAGACGGGAAGGGGCGATGGAAATTTAGGGACTTTTCCTTCTCTTTGGAATTTTGGGAGTTTTCTTTCTCCTTGATTTCTACTTAACTCTTTCTTGGATACGGAGTATTTTATTAGCATAGCAAAACTCCCTATTATAATAGGGATTGCAATCATATGAATGACTAAAATAAGGAAAGGAAAATCCAAGATAATCACTTCCTAAAATAGATATGCTATTAAAGTATTAAAACCAACCACTAGCTATCAATCTCCTCAATCAATTACTTGATCTTTTACCTTTACGTAATCTTACAATATAGCATGCATTAATACACCCATCCTCCAAATTCAAACTTGTCCTCAAACTTGAAAACTTGAACCTGGCATAGAAAGTTTGTCTTATAGGTGGGACTAAGGTGAAGGTGATCAACATCCATTAAAAACTCCCTTCAAATATAATGGTACTCTGGGACAGTTGTAGTTGACCAAAATGGATCCGGAAAGTCCAAGTAGCTTGTTTTGGAAGCTTGTGGGGTGGGGCAGTGTGCATTATTGGTGCTGGGACAGCACTGGCTCTAGCCCCTAGGAGTTGTTGTGTGGGAAGCAATGTTGATGGCAGTTGAAACGGAACATAGGTTGATGAAGTGTTTACTGATGGTGATGGGGGAGCTTCTTCAGCTGTGATAGAAGTACTCCAGGTATTTAGAAATTACAGAAAAGATGAAAGAGTATTCAAGAAACAACTCAAAGCTTTCATTAATGGTGACAGTAAGTAGAGCCGAAGCCCCAAAGAAAGAGACAATGTTGAATGTATCTCAATTCTTTCCCAGTCCAGACTAACAACCTAACAGCCTACTTACTAACTCCCCTTTCCCAGCTGTTTATTCTATTCAGAATACAAACAGAAATTACACCTCAGCAACTAACTAATTGTTATACTTCTTTCTCCTACTATAGACCTTCCCGTAATGCTTATTATCATTATTAGTACTAGCAGCTTCACTCGGGTGTCTATCAATACTCCCTCCTGAGAATCCACCTGTCCTCAAGGTGGGGAGATAGGAACCAAGCCTGGAATTCAGCTTCCTCCTGGTGCCTCTCCCTTCCCTGTCCCTCGTTGATGGCGGTATCAGAAGTTCCCTGTCCTCAAGATGAAAAACTCTTGACCAGCCTCAGCTTTGCATGTCCCTTGAGTGAAACTTCTCACTGAATAGCTCATACAGAACTTCATCCACACACATGTCAAAAGAATTCAACAATCTCCAATGGTATTCCCCAATCATGAACCCGAAGTAGCATTTGTTCCATTATACTGCACACCCTGCTGTCAACTTTAAGACTAGGCTTATTTCCTTTGTATAATGCACCCATCAGCTGAAAATCAGAAAGCTCCATTGCAAAATCAAAGGAAGTAACAATTACTAAAGGACCATAAGTCCAACGAAAGCAAGGGCTGTTCTGTCCCAGATACTTTTCTGCCATTCCAAAAGACCTTGCCAGAAAATGGACCGGATCACCATAGAATTTTTTTAAAAATTTTGATGTATCAACAACTGCGTCTAGAGCTTGCTGGTAACTCTTAAGAGCCATCCTCTGTAATAACCTTGTGAAGAAGTCAAAAACATCAGGAAAGGATAGAGCTGTCTTTGCAGAGATGTCTCCCAACATGAGATAACTTGCAGGTGCTTTACATGGATTGTGTAAGTCAAGCTTGGGGTAGTCTAACATGCTCTCAACCCATGGCTGCAATTCTGCTTCTTGTACTTCTGCAACTTGCATAAATGATTCCTCAGTTAAGTAATCCAATATTGTACCATTCTGCTTCTTGTACTTCTGCAACTTGCATAAATGATTCCTCAGTTAAGTAATCCAATAATGTACCATAGCCTGAAGACTTTGCCCTCTTTTCTTGCACCCATTTGGATACATCAGCAGGTAAAGAACCTGCTAAGTTTTTGACAATTAAAGTTGCAAGTGGCAGTGAATTTCTGCCAAGGTGTTGGGAATGGCTAGACTTGTCAGCATCATGAATCTGTGTGCGGTTTCCCCAGATGATAGCAGATTCTCCAGAAAGAAAATAAAACATGATCCTTGTGAACCACTGGGACTGGACCAGACCTCTTTTGTTCCAGGCATGAATTTTCTCAAAACATTTCCTTTGGTTGTCGAGGCTGTTGTCTTTTGACAAGAACAGTTTTATCTTCTGTAATATCCTTAATTTTAAGTAATCTAGTTTCAGAAGCCATTAGGACTCTACTTCCAAAGGAACATGGATGAATAAGCAAATCAACAATAGAAACTTGGCTGGGAATTAAATACACATCATCTGCAAGATTAGGAGAAACATAATCTGGCCATTGAATAATCTGTCTTTGCTCCTCGATTTCGTCCTTCTTATTCATTTTCTTGATTACAGATTCAGTTGGCTCCATCTCGGTCTTCTTTATTGACTGGGGAAGATCTTGTGCAGGGTGAGAAACTTGTAAACCCAGAGAAAAGACTTGAGACGAAGAATGCGAACAGTGAGAATCGACTGGCGACTTTCTTGGACGCGAACTGAGGGCCGGTGAGGAAGTCTGTGAACAGAAAGAAACTGTTCCCGACTTCGAACTCTGAGAAGAAGTTCACGATTGCGAACTAAAAGAAGCCTTTCGCGAGTGTGAACTAGAAGAAGCAGTAGTTCGCGTCGAAGATTGCGAACTCAGAGAAGTTCTTGGCGATCGTGATGATTCCTGGTTTTCTGTCTTCCGTCTGCGTCTCGGTGGGAAACGCCTAGTCGTCGCTTCCTTTAGATCCTCCCAACTGTTATCTCTCATTTGAGTTTCCCACCATTGAAACCATTCAAACGCCCTTTCCTCCATCGCGTCTGCTGCGACTTCAACCTTATCTTCTTCCGCAGTATACATCCTAACTATCCATCCGTACACTTCATCCCCGTTGAATAGAGGTAACTCTTCTGATCCCTGTGGACTAGCGGACTTTCTCGCGTGTTCAAGATGCAAAGTGCGATGGGAGCTGCGCGGAGTAAGCAATCGATTCCTCGATCGATTCTGGTCGCTGTTCCGCTTTGTGAGTGTCTCCTGTATTGCCACCAAAGTCATCTTAGTTTTCTCCATTGATTTCACTAGCTTGTTCATACGTAAATCCATTTATGCACGATTAAAGACCCTCCACAGTGTCGATGTGCTCTGATACCACTGATAGAACTACTCCAGGTATTTAGAAATTACAGAAAAGCTCTCATTAATGGTGACAGTAAGTACAGCCGAAGCCCCAAAGAAAGAGACAGTGTATCTCAATTCTTTCCTAGTCCAGACTAACAGTCTAACAGCCTACTTACTAACTCCCCTTTCCCAGCTATTTATTCTATTCAGAATACAAACAGAAATTACACCTCAGCAACTAACTAATTGTTATACTTCTTTCTCCTACTATAGACCTTCCCGTAATGCTTATTATCATTATTAGTACTAGCAGCTTCACTCGGGTGTCTATCAAGCTGCCGAGGAGTCCAGTGGTTGAGAAAGGTTGGCAATCTGGTCCAAACGATTCTGAACCGACTCCACTAATGGATGCAGTAACTGCTGCACCTTTTGCACTGCATTTTGCAGATTGAGAAGGTGCCTTTCGCTTGTTAGTTTGTGTAGCTCATGCTGCTCATTTTGTATCTCGGAGAGGAGTGTGTACTGATCATTGGTATGTGCGAAATTTCCCATAACATCAGCAACAAAACCAAAATGTTATGTACCGGGATTCCTTGCATCACAAGAGTGAATTAATAGAATGACCGGAAGGGGCAGTCGAAATTTAGGGACTTTTCTTTTTCCTTTGGAATTTGGGGAGTTTTCCTTGTCCTTGATTTCTCTTTCTTTCTTGTATATTTTATTAGCATAACAAAGGTCCATTAGATAATAGGGATTACATTCATATGAACGCCTAAAACAAGGAAAGGAAAATCCTAAATAATTACTTTATAGAACATTCAATTAAGGTATTAAAATCAAATAAGAATAAAACCAACCACTATCCCGATAACTGCCGAAGGGTTGTTTCCCTGACATGTGTCAATGTGTATCGTATTAAAAAAATATGGAAAAGATAAAGCAGAATAAGAAATACCTGGCCTTGGATTCCCATCTGCATTGCCACAATGGGGTCTAACATAACACCACAGATTGGACAGCCCATGAGGTAAGCTACATGAATTACCTACAAGTAGATGGCCAGCTTCATGAACTAGAATTCGGCGCCTATAAGGTGGCCAGTAGCTTGAGACCTGCGCTAAGAAAGAACCTCCAAGAAATATAGCATTGAGCATTGTCAAGCCTAGTACTGCGGGAATGTTATGTCTGATGTCCATTCCCTGATTTACCATAAAAGAGATTCCAGCAAGCAATGCAATCAAAATAAAGCTAGAGCTTCCTGAAAGACCTCACTTTTTATGTGAAAGTTTTGTCACTGAAAACAAAAAGAATGGAACAAAAATTTACCCAAACTGTGAATATTTTATTTGAATGTGGGTTAAGATAACATGAAGGCATATAGTTGATGAGTTTCTGCAACTAAACAATGTAAATCACGCAGTTGAGATTCTTGAAACATTCCAATAATTTCCTTATGACAGATGCTTCATAAAAATGTGAATATTTGTTTTTCAATTCAATTTGTATTGTAGAATGTGACTTAATAGATGGCACGTTAAACACAAAACACCTAAACACTTCAAAGTTTTTCTACTCTTAGTCCTCTGAGAATTCTTGCAATGACAGTTTTGGTACCGTCTTTGAATAATTCCATTTTTTCGCTAGGATATTTTGACAAGGACATTTTTGTACCCATCCTTGAACGTTTCACTTTGAGTAGAGGCCTACTATGAGTTTTAGACAATGCCAAAGTGTCACTATCATAATAATCAAAAGTATAAGAGTGGACAAACTCAAAGACGGGTACCAAAGTGTGTCTTACACAACAAGAGACTACAATTGGGAAAATTTAAAGACCAAAAATGTCACACAATTGATAGAGTTGGAAATAGAAAAACCCCGTAGCATGTTTTAGTATCAAGTAATTAGAGCTTATGGTCCTAAATTAAAATGGAGTAGCTGATATGTACTGACCATCTAAACCAGTCAAAGACTTCAATAATGATGGTGTTACACCTCGTGTGCCTTCCAGAACTGCATGGTTTGCAAACTTCTCTTAGTTGTATACAATAGTAGAATAGATAAATGGTAGGCAGTAGGCACAGCCATCTTAAGTGAAAAATTGGATAAAACTCGCAAACTCTGTAACATTTAAGTGAAGCTAATCTCGCCCAACAAATGTTTTCATAATTTAGTCATGCGTTGGAAGTATAAATTCCCATTATCTTTGAGTTAAATGGTCATCCTTGTAGAGATCATTACTGTCGGAACAAGTGCTGAAATCACTATTGGATTTGGGGTCCATTAATTGGGACATAAATACTGATAGATTCTGATAGAAGAGAAAAAATATGTATTGATCTTGTTGTCTCTAGATGAGTGGGGATACATGTATATATATTATAATTTTGTCACTATCTATGACTAATAATACGGTGATGGTAAGGAATAGACAAAGACATATAATTGGGAAGAGAGAAAGACATTAATAAAATATACTCTCTCCGTCCCCCTGTTATTGTCCCATTGCAGTTTACGATGATTGACCGACGATAAAGCAAACAGATCCCTGTCCGCACTCAAATTATTTTTAGGAAAAAAAATTTACATATTAAGAAACTACATTAAAAGATTTACAAAGTCGCAAAAATCAGAATCAAATTTGATAAAAATTTGATACATAAAGTAAGAGATTAAGAGTGATTTGTGTTGACCAAGTGAATAGGAAATGGGACAATAATAGGGGGCCGAATAGGTGCCAACACCCCCCCTCAAGATGGAGCATGGGGATCAAGAATGCCCATCTTGGAAAGAAGATGTGTGAATTGATTGGCGCCTAGTGCTTTAGTAAAGATATCTGCAAACTGCTAAGTGGTAGAAATGTAGGACGGGGTAATAGTGCCCACTTGAATATGATCCCGAACGAAATGACAGTCCAGTTCAATGTGTTTGGTTCGCTCGTGAAACACTGGATTTGACGCAATGTGTATGGCGGCTTTATTATCACAAAAGACTTGCACGGCGGAGGTATGATGGACACCGAGAGAGTGTAAAAGATTCTTGAGCCAAATAATTTCACAGACAAGTGTAGCCATGGAACGGTATTCTGCCTCAGCGGATGATCTAGAAACAGTGGCCTGCTTTTTGGTGCGCCAAGAAATAGGTGAATCTCCTAGCAACACCAGATAACCTGTGACAGACCGGCGGGTGAGTGGACAACTAGCCCAATCCGAATCACAATAGCCAGTCAAAGAAAGTGTCGAGTGAGAGCGTAAGAGGATGCCTTGCCCCGGATGTCCCTTAAGATATCGTAGTACCCGCACAACTGCGTCCCAATGAGCCACACGAGGTTGATGCATGAATTGAGAAAGTATATGAACTGAGTAGCTAATGTCTGGTCTGGTGAGCGTGAGATAAATCAACTTGCCTACCAAACGACGATAACGGTTTGGATCAGAAAAATAAGCACCTGTGTCAGATTGCAAACCATGGTTTTGGACCATGGGGAATGACACCGGCTTAGCACCGGTAAGACCTGTTTCCGCCAAAATATCCAAAACATATTTCCGTTGACATAGAAAGATTCCGCTGGGGTTTCGAGCTACTTCTATACCTAGCACCGGTAAGACCTGTTTCCGCCAAAATATCCCAAATCTTTTACTGGAAAGGATCTAGCCAAATATGCTTTAAAGGCCACAATCATTTCATGATTATTCCCGGTGATCAACAAATCATCAACATATACCAACACACATAGAATATGACTATTATGTTGTAGGGTAAATAGCGAATAATCTGCATGCGACTGTTTAAACCCATAACCTTTTAGAGATCCAGTCAGTTTAGAAAACCAACACCGCGGTGCTTGCCGAAGACCATAAAGAGACCTTTTTAGTCGACAAACATGTCCGGGCGTTGGAGCAGTAAACCCAGGTGGCAAATGCATATAGACCTCTTCACGGAGATCCCCGTGTAAGAAGGCGTTGTCCACATCCATCTGATGTAACTCCCAGTTCCGTGAAGCAGCAACCGCTAATACAGTCCGCACAGTCACCATTTTTGCCACTAGTGCAAATGTGTCTGAGTAATCAATCCCGTGTACCTGTTTATTTCCACATACAACCAGTCGGGCCTTGTAGCGATCCACAGACCCATCAGATTTATATTTTATTTTAAACACCCATTTACAATAAATCGCTTTCTTCCCCGGAGGGAGCCGCTGAATTGTCCATGTCCCTGTTTGTTCCAGAGCTTGTATCTCTAGGCGCATGGCTTCTCTCCACAGGGAATTTTGTACTGCCTCTTGATAAGATCTAGGCTCTTTGGTAGCTGATAATGCTGCAAGAACAGCACGGTGTCCCACCGAAAAGTGATCATATTTTACGTAATGAGACAGGGGATACAGATTACCTGAGTCAACCGGTGAAGTGGCGCAACCATTGGGGGGAGAATTAATTTTCACTTTGTGTAGTCGGACTTCATAATCACGATGCCATATGGGAGGTCGCCGCACATGTCTTCCGTGCTGAGTTGGTAGTCCAGAAGAGGTCCCAGATGCTGCCGAGAAATCAGCTTCATCAACTGACGATCCAGATGAGGGGTTGGTCATGTTCGTTACCTGATCATTCGCATCAGGGGCCAGCGAATTTGAATTATCACTGACACATGCATGATTATGAGATAACTCCTCACTTGATTCCATAGCACTGGATTTTGATGTCAGGTCCACATTATTCTCTTGTTCGGTTTCCAGCTCTTGGTCAAGCATTTCAGTCTCCGCCCGATTTTCTATATTTGAGAAGTCATCCTCTGAATTTTGTCCATGTGTCACTTCGGTTGTCATGCCGCAATCATTCCTTGGTTGAGTAGTGTGGTCTGGTGGTGCATAAATTGGACGTCACGCGACACAAAATGATGTTGCTTTTCCAAATCAAATACTTTCCATCCCTTTTGTGAGTACGCATATCCCAAAAACACACACTTTATCCCTCGTGGAGCAAATTTATCACCAGTCCTCTCCTTATTATGAGCATAACATAGACAACCAAACACCCTCAATTGATTATAGGTCGGTGGCTTATGATACAACTTCTCATATGGATTTTTATTGTCCAGTAACGGAGTTGGCAGCCTATTGATCAAATATCCCACAGTCAATACACACTCACCCCAGAAATGTACAGGTAAATGTGCATGAAAACGAAGTGTTCGTGCCATATCCAAAATGTGCCTATGTTTCCTCTCAACGCGGCCGTTTTGTTGTGGTGTATAGATACACGAGGTTTGAAAAAGAATGCCGTTATCCAAAAAATACATTTTCAAGCATTGAAATTCCAAACCATTATCACTTCGTACCACCTTAACTTGTCTATTAAATTGACGATTAGTCATGGCAAAGAATTGTTTTAAAACATTTTGTACCTCGCTTTTCTCACACAGTAAATGTACCCACACGGCCCGAGAAAAATCATCAACAATGGTCAAAAAATAGCGTGCCCCACAGGAAGAAGGAGTTCTATACGGCCCCAAATGTCACAATGGATTAACTCAAAAGGTTCGGTTGCTCTAGCCGAATTAATAGCAAAAACATCACGCGTCTGTTTTCCACGCAAGCATGCATCACATGTTCTATTTATGTCTACCTTAAACAAAGATTTATCGCTATTCACTAATCATAAAACTGTCTTGGACGGGTGACCCAATCTTGAATGCCATAAATCCGAAGATGCAATCGTGATGGAATGAGCTTGAATCCCGTCAAAACAGTGAAAGTAGTAAACTCCCCCACAACGCTTACCCACTCCAATCGGCGTCCTCGAAGGTAGGTCCTGCACCACACAAATGTCATTAGTAAAATAAATATCACATTTTAAGTCATCAATTAACCGAGCCACCCAGATAAGGTTACACTTCAACCCCGGCACGTACAAAACATTTTTAATTACGACAGCCGCACTTAAACACACTTCACCGATGTGTGTTGCATGTGTTGTGTCACCATTGGGAAGGGAAACCGAGACTGCCGCCATATCCGCTATTTTGTTTAAAAAACATGTGTTTCCTGTCATGTGGAAAGAAGTTCCCGAGTCTAGGAGCCAATCACTTTTGTATTTCATACCTGAGAGTTTTTCCTCGACGGATGAAGACTTACAATTTCCCCCAAGTTTCAGCAGACTTTTCCACTGCTCGCTTGTAAATCCGGGTGCATATGTCACACCCTGCTTCTCATCTACCTTTGACTGTCCTTCATCTCGCGGCTCTCCAATTTGGACAGCGTGTGCTACAGGTCGACCACGTCCTCTTCCAGATCCAGTTCGACCACCTCTTCCGCCGCGTCCTCTTCCCGGATTATCGAACCACCACTCCGGATAGCGTCCGCTCTTCTTGAAGCAATTTTCAACCTCGTGACCAACCTTGTTGCAGTAAGTGCACTTTATCTTTTCTTCTCGTCCTGCGTTGTTCGACGCCATCCTGACCGCAAAGGCCACAGCTTCCGGTTTCTCCTCTCGCCCTTTCACCATATTCCGGTGTCTCTCCTCCTGTGTTACCATTTGGTAAACTCTACTAAAGGGTGGCAGATCATCAAGGCTGAGAATGTTGGAACGCAGCACACCAAAGGCCTCACTGTCAAGGCCAAGCAGAAAATCATGGGTCTTTTCTTTCTCAGCGTGCTTAAGAAACTTCTTGTTGAGATCACACGTACAACCTTGACACACGCATTGTGGTATGTAGCGATATCCATCATAGTCGTCCCATAAAGCTTTAAGCCGGCCAAAGTATGCGGTAATGGGTTGTCCATTTTGCTGGCATTCTCGTATAGATTCTTTGAGTTCGTATACGCGCATTGCATCCCCCACTGCGAAACGGGTCTTCAAGTCTTCCCACAGATCATTAGCACTTTCCATGTAAGTGAGATTGGTGCGAAGAGTAGGGTCAACGGCTGTCATGAGCCATCCCACTAGCATAGAATTCACCGTCAACCAGTCCTCCAAGTCTTCTATATCCTCTTCCGGTCGTTCGATGGTTCCGTCGATGAAACCCATTTTCCGTTTTGCTCGGAAGGCATTCTTCATTGCGGTTGACCATTCTCGGTAGTTTCCCTCCCCCTTAAGCACCAGGCCACTGATGTTGATTCCCGGAAAATCTGAGTTCGATAAGTAGTATGGGGATGAGACATCATTGATCTTCCGTCTTCGTTCCTTTTGGTGCTGTTGGTCGTCAGTCATTTTGCCGGTACAGTTTCACGTATCAAGGATCTTTGAGCTACTGCTCTGATACCATGATAGATTCTGGCTGTAAAGATCGCGAATAAACTGAGCAGAGTTTTAGAAGAGAAAAAATATGTATTGATCTTGTTGTCTCTAGATGAGTGGGGATACATGTATATATATTATAATTCTGTCACTGTCTATGACTAATAATACGGTGATGGTAAGGAATAGACAAAGACATATAATTGGGAAGAGAGAAAGACATTAATAAAATATAATAATTAGTCTTCAATTATGAGACCACTCCACTTCCGCTTCGTACATCCAAATAATCGGCCGAATAGGTGCCAACAAATACCTTGAGGCTAACCAAACTAAAAGATCGAGATCAGTCTATTAGCTACTTCAACGCAATACTCTATAAGTTCATACTCCCTTCTTTCCATTTCGGTTTAGGATGGTTAACCCTTCTATGATAACACATGCATACACACATATATGTGTGTCTAGTATATACTCCCTCCTCAAAGAATGTCCTACTTTCCAAAAATGGAAGTCCCTAAATGAATGTCCTACTTCTTTAATTTCCTTATTTGGTAAACAAATTTATACCAAACAGTGTCAAACAATGTAAAACAGTGTCAAACAGTGCAAAACAGTGTCAAACAGTGTCGCTACAGTGTGAAGTCAAATTCATTTCCTTGATTTGTGTGAAGTCAAACTAGGACATTCTTTCGGGGATATATGAACATATTCATAAACTACGGTAAAAATGTATTGAACCCTATAAAATGAATTTTAAAATGGTAAATATGTACTCCTATTAAAATAATACTACTTATATGATAACACGGATAGAGTGAGTATGTGATATACTGATAATGTCCAGCTGATGTTCTTAAAAACGGGACTACTCTAACAAAAGTTAATAATTTTTATGTGGCATGAGTAGGACAACTGACAAGTTGAGGGGAGAGTGGAACAGATAGTCCAGAACAGAAAATGGAATATAGAATGCTATAGAGTGAATGAGTGATGTCACTGCAAAAACAAAAAACAAAAACAAACTAAGACCAAGAAGATTACCAATGCTACTGCATTCCCCAAAATTGGGCAAGAAATCCATGCCCTTGAGAAAAGTGTACGCTCCAGCAACCAGCTTCATATCATCCTCATTCAAGCAGGTATCCAAAACCTCCCAATTGCGCTCTTGCCGAGCGGCCCTTGCCCAATCCATCTCGCTCGGATACCGGCTGGAGTCTATCCAAGATTCCTCCTTTGGTGGGCAAGAATACTATTTAGGAACCGAAGAGCTCTGGTTAGGTCCTTATTCTTCACAGCTTGGTCGTAATCTTTCCAGTCCTTCAGAGCTCCGGTTCTATTCATTCGCTGACTGACTGACTCGTTTTCAGGTGACGTGGCATTGTGGCCTACGTGTAAACAGCATAGAGCAGGCGAGAGCATTCCGGTCAGGGCTTCCGCTATACAACAAGATTTTAGCTAAGTGCGCAGAAAAAGAATTAGAACTAACAAGCATTGTTAGAAGAATAGGATTACGTGATTTGATTTGTTGATGTGGTCTGGTCGGGAACGAATTACAAACCAAGTAAAAACATCATAACTCAGTCTGACGGTCCGTGAGACTATGAGAGATATTTAGAGATTTTAGCCTTTTAGAGTTGTGATGAACTTTTAGGGAGAAAAGGTTGAATCTTTTTTTGAAGGAAAGTGGCTTAAATTATGTGTTAGAGTTTTATTCCTTCGACCCAAAAGGCCCAACACGTTTTTAACCCAAAAGATAAATAGTAGTAAGTGTGTCGTATCTTATTATTAATTAAATAATAATAACGATCCGTATACAACACACTTCAACTACTAGTTCTGAGGCCGTTCGTCTATCTCAATACTAAGAGCTGAGATAATTGTTACTGCTAATAAGAATAAATTGTCTACCTTTTACGATGAAATAAATGTTACTATTTAGACTACCAAAGAGTAAATAGTGTTGCTGATGTGGAGAATTGTGGATGGCCAGTTTCCCAACCCTAGTAAGTTAAATACAGAATGACAGTTAAACGATGTTTAATACGTTCACGTTTTATTCGGTAACATGAATGAAAATAACAGCCAAATATTCGTTGAAAAAACGTTGACTTTTATAAAACGTGTAAATATGTATATGTGTATAATACGTTATCGGTTACAAAAATTTGGTCGGGGGAACGCGTTTGGCCACTGAGTTGTAGTCCTTGATGTCCCGCCATGTGGTAGCCGTCTTGACTCTCGTCACATGGGAAGTCAGGTCTCGCCATTGGAAGATCCTCGTCCCGTCGTTGCTTGTTTTTAGGCCCCGTCGTCATGGGGTAGCAAGATTTTGATTGCTTCGTATAGGAGTTGAAATCCAAGCAGTCTGTTGGTCTTGCCGCTCACGAGTGACGAGATGGAGTTATGGTCTCCATTCAATACAGAGGCTGCAAAGTTGGCTTAAGACGAGGATATAATGGACATTGTATTATTATTTTATTAATTGATTTTAATTAAAGACTGTGAATAATAATTGTGTGGCTGCATTTAGAATTAAAGAAATTGTCAAAAATGGGACTAAAACATTGACTGAATTCCTGAATAGACATTAAGTTTTTTATTCCCTAAATAGGACTAAAGATTACAACTTTACCCTTTGGCTAATTACACACCTGAAGTCGACTCCAGGTGCAGCGGAACTCCATCCCTCATCCAACAGCCTAGAAAATTCTATCGCAACCTTTTTCCTCTCCATTGACCGCCAGACTTCTCTCCTGCGACTTTCCGATGACCGGTCATAGACTACTCATAGCTTCTCCACCTTCGACCGCAGCTTATCCACAATCAATCGTAGTCATGTGCTCATCCAGGTACTCTTCTTCCCCTCTCCCCCGTTCCTCTTCCTCCTCCTCCTCCTCCTTCCTCTTCTTCATCTTCTTTCTCTTTTCTTTTTTTGGCTTCTCCTTCCCATCCTCTTTGATTCTGGGTCCTCTGTTTTCTTCTTCTTTAGATTTCAATTTTTTATTGATTTATTAATTTTGATTAATTTGGAACCTCAAAATGCCATAAATTACAAACAATTAGAAAAATGTCAATTTTATGACAATACATTTATCAAAATGACAGTATGTCACGAAACTGATATTGTTACTAAAAAATTGTCACTTTAAATATGTCATTTTTTATTCAAAAATGTCATACGAATGACATTGTTACTCTTTGGAGCGAGATGTCATTTTCTTCTTTGAACTGTCACCTTAACAAATGTAATGTCATAAAAGTAACATTATTACAAATCAGTGTTGGATTAAACATCAATTATGACATTTTTCTAAAGTTTTTAAATTTCAAAGTAAAATTGTCATCTTCATAGATGCAATGCCATAAAAATGAAATTCTTCGAATTACTGATAAGTTTATGACATTTTCAGATTTCTGCTTTATAAATAAAATTGAAATCTAAAGAACGAGATAACTGAGTACCAGAAAATTGAAGAGGATGAGAAGAAGGAGGAGAAGGAGGAGGGGGAGGGGGGAGAAGGAGGAGGAAGGAGAAGAAGAAGGAGAAGAAGGGGAAGAATACTTTCCCTGACATGGCTGGAGAAATTGCAGCAGTGGTGTCATCGATGGCAGGGCTGCGACGATGTCGGTAGATGGCAGAGTTGCGGCGGTGCTGATAGATAGCGGAGCTACGGCCATGGTAGAGGAAGGTATCACGGTCGATAAATGTCAATTGAGAAAATTGCGGCGATCATTTGCAGAGGGTAGAGGAGAAAGCTGGGTAGAGGTAAAAGTGTAACCTTTAGTCCTATTTAGGTAATTTAAAACAATAAGTCATGTTTTTGCAATTTCAGCTTATTTTAGTCATATTTAGGGAATTCTCTCTTAGAATTACCCTTTAATAATGCAGGCAGGGATGTAAAGGGGTGTCTTTCCTGGACTTCACATACAAATAAATACAATTAATGGTCTGCTCATTCTAGACCCGTTAATCGGAAGGCTCCTTTAGAAATATCGTTGAGATATGTCCAAAACATTCACAATTGAATTACTTTTAATTGTTTTAAATACGCTAAATTTTAATGAAGTGTGAAATGAGTACTCAAATTTACATATTAAATATATGTACCCTGAACATTATATAAAAGATTACGTTCGCACCATAATTATGTTGTTTTCACACACACACACACACACACACACATATATATATATATATATATATATATATATATATATATATATATGAATAACTACATAATTTGAAATAGAAAAAATAACTTTAAATATTCAAATTATTTTTCATGAACCAAAAATAATACGTAAATAAAAAATAACTTTCAATAATATCAACTATTTAAATATAGTCCAAAAGTGACTTAAAGCAATTTTTCAATACAAATTCAATTATTTAAGTCATCAAAAACTAGATTTGAAATATCAAATAAGTGACAGTATTATCAAATATCATTAATTTGATAGTTTGCTATTAGTTTCTAATGTCTTAAATGATTAGATTTTTTATTGAAAAGTGACTACATATTTTTTTTTTGTTTTATATTCAAATTGGTATTATTAAAAATCATTTTCAAGTATGTATTATTATTGGTTTATGGGTGATACCTGATATTATTTAAAGTTATTCTCCCTTTAAAATATTCTAAACTTTGCTAGAATGTAATTAATGTTCAAAAATTTCATTTGTCAAATAAATAATACGGAGTATTAACTTCGGTACAATTTAATTTTATTTACATCCTCATAATTTTTTGTGTATTTTAAATTATTTTTGTGTATTTTAAATTATGTATTTTAAAATATATATTCATGATGTTAACATAAATTATTATATAAAATTTGAAGTACATATATTAGAAGTGCAAGTTTGAGGTATTTAAATTATTTTTTCTAAATAAGAACTACTCCCAAAAGACTCAGGACCAGTTTCATCGGGGGATTTAATTTCAAAGAAGAGTAAAGGGTAATATTGATTTTTACTTTATTAATTTATCCAAATTTGTTAGATTTAGATCACAAATAACTGTTAGGAAATTGATGTAACATACCTCGAAAGTATAGCAGCGGAAGTTTAAAATTTTCCCAAACAGATCTTCCCTGATTA